ATATTACAAGGGTTCTAAATACTATGTAGAAAATTTCAGCTTGTTACGAGCCTATGATTACAGACTATATACACTTTTTCATGCATAAATTACCACTCATATTTTTTTTCTAATATATATTCGTAAATTCTTCACAACTTTCCTTAACCAACATGATGACAGAATTTCCAATAAATTTCTTTGGACATGAATATATGATAATTGGAAAAGTATAGTATTTCAAACGTTTTCTTTTCGGAATCTGTTTGATTTACCGAAAAGTCGGGTTTTTTCTAATGAAATTCCTTTCTCTAGAAAATTATATGTTTTGGAATACGTCGAAGTACAACAAAGGGCTCCGGATCAAACTACTCCATTTCGGTCTCTCTGCGACTCAGTTGAGAATTTTGTGGATAGAAAGGTCTCTTGCTGTGATAAAGACTATGTGCAATTTTTATCCATGAAAACAGTCACGTATATACATCGCAGACCCAGAGGGGAGGAAAACGAGGGTTATCGGACACCCTTAGTCTCATTATTTTAATGTTGCTCACATGAATAAATAAAATAAGGAGAGAAATTTGACCACAAATCCACCCGCCTTTCCCACCCTTCTCCACTCTTGCCAGTGCGTCTCTATTTTCTCAGAAAATTGAGATTCGAAATAAAAATAGAAGCATCCCTTATATGTGTGTCAATTCTCCATGGAAAAGTCTCGCGCTGAGTGTGCGTCTTGATATTTCCAGCGGCGTCATAGAAATTATAAATAAAAATATATAATTTCGAATGAGGATCTCATTATCTGCATTTTTCTTTGAGTTTAATTCAGTGAGAAAGTTTATATTTTTATTTAAAAAAAAATGTAGTTAACAAACCATTCATTTGAAGAAATTCACTGCCGGTGAAATGAATTCGGCGCACGATTCTAGTTGAAAAGGCCATTCGAGGGGTTGTGAAATTTGAGATATTCAATTTGATTTGTTGAGGCCTCATATTAGTCACTCTGGGACTTGTTTCGCCACCATAAATAAAAATATTTTCTTTTATCACCCCGACAGAGCGTGTATCAAGTGATACTTGTTCTCTGCTCGCCAATATTCCTAATTAGTTTCCGAAACTGTCCATTTGCATCGAAGCTTTAATGGGGAAATAATCCCGATATTTATTTTATTATTATGTCATTAAGCAGAATGACTCTTTTATCACAGAAGCGCAGTAAAGGAGCGCTTTTTCGCATTGCCACACGAATTGGGCGGCGGTGAAAGAGCAGCGCGTCTTCGCGCTGCGGTGCATTAACTTTTGGCGAGAGAGAGGCTCACGACCCCAATCAAGTAGTAAATTAGGAGAAGAAAACACTCGTTTTCGGTCGGGAGAAAGAGGCTTTTTGTGGAAATATGAGTTTATTGTGACTCATAAAAGTTACCTCAATAATTATACGCCAGTACGGGTCAGTACAAATAAATATCTTATATGGGTGGTAAATATTTTTGTACCAGCCTTTATTGCTCATCCCTTTGGAGGGAGGTTTTTCGGGAAAAAGTGTCCACATGTCGAGCGAGAAAGTTAAAACACGTGGTTTGCGATAGAACAAGGACGCATTTGGGGAATTATGACCGTCTTTGGCAAATTTCTCGGTCCTTGGAAGCAAGGTTAGGGCCTGTGTAAAGTCATTACGATTGCAAATGAAGATGTATGTCCACTTGGGGTTTTCCACCTAAATATTCTGTGGTACTACTGATTGGTGTCTTTTGTGGTTCTGCGGACTCAGCCTTGAGGGTGTGAAACTGCTGTGGATTTTTTCCTCAACTGATTTCCTCCACTATTTCGTCTCTGGACTGGACAAAGAGTCACAATATTTAACCTCATCGTGTTAGCTGGAGAGTCCAATATAAAGGCACTCAAATTTGATTATTTCTTTGCCCCATCTCTAATTCAATTGCCGCGATGCCTTCTGAAAATATTCCACAGAGTCATTCTGACCGAAATGTGAGGGGCCACAGTGTGAATATAATTACGACACATCCAATAAAGATTTTTGTAAATTATGAAGACTGAAGTCGCTGTAAGCAAAGCGAAATTAACCACAAAATTCTTTTTATATCATAATTTACTAGACACAAGAAACAAAACCTTCCAAATCCTTGGAAAAGTGTCATTAGCAGAGTGCCATCTCTGGTCATTTTGTCCAGAAAATGTAGAAAGGTATGGTTTAAAATTTTGTTAAATTCCAGAAATAGATTCAAATTAAGGGTTTGGCACCAACATTATATGGTCATAAAAAGACTAACATCCCCTTTTCGAAATGTATCCTTTGAGCCTGGTTTCAATTGTCTCGTTATGTCGCTGACATCAATTCTGAATATGCTCACTAAAACGTGTTCCGTGCCAAAATCCGCCCTTGCTCGTGAAAGGAGGGAATGCGTCGTGACGCAATTGCTGACTGTAAATAAATGTCGATTGAATGGTTGAGAATCACAGCTCGATTGTTTTCATTGCCACCACCATCGTAGCGCTGTATCAAGATGCCAGGGATGCGTGGAGGACGCCTGGCTGGCGGGCGAGGGTGTTATGAAAATAAATTGAGGGTGCGAGAGCACGTGTTGGGATGTGAAAAGTACGCTTCGAGTGGTGGCGGGAGAATAATGGGAAATATGCACACCGGGAAGTATTTGTGATGTATCTAATGATCCCAATTTGACCCATGAATATCTGAGCAAGGAAGGGGAATCAAAGTGACAACACGTGACGAGGAAAATGGTCGTGTCTCATGAAAGTGTTAACGACTATTTTTGCAACATTCTCCTTTTTTGTGCGCTCATTAAATATTTTTCGTCCTGAAAACACGCTCGACGGATCATTAAAAGTGAGGTCATGTGCCGATGGACGATAATTGTCACAATTCTCGAGAGGGAATCTTCCTCTGCTCTATTCGCTCAGCATCTGACTTTGTGGGATTAAGACTCGTAATCCCACTAAATTTCCTCCTCGTTTGTTTATTGGGTGAAAGTGGAGATTTTTTGGTCTCAGAAGAGCTCTTTCCGTCTGGGGAAATCCTAACAGTGTGGTTTCTTTCAATTGGATAATCTCACCAAAAATCTCCATATGATATGTGTCACATTAGTTCCAAATGTGGCAATTTTTCATGATGCTCCAGAGATTTCACAAGCAAAAATTTATGAGTGGGATTGACTGTGATTCTCCCTTAATTTCCTCATGCAAGATGTATTTTGGAAGAGGGTTTTTGGATTTTTATTAGATTTATTTTCTATTCTGGTCGCGACAATGTTTGTTGACAATGAAAATTCTTTGAATATTTCAATGGAAAATAACGTTGCAAGGAATGTAATAGAAAATTTAAATTCTGTGAAACCGATAAATACAATATGAACATTTTTGAAAAACTAATTAAGGACATTATAATCAATTGCTGATCATGTTTTTTCTGTATTGAGATATAGAAGTAATGTACCTAAATTGATTGGTGTTAAATTGACAAAACCCACTTTTTAATATGTTTAGTTATTTCAAATTAAATACATTTTAATTTTTCTTGCTTTTTGATCGACATGAAGAATTGGGGTTCGAGATTCCAACACAGGGTTCAAGAGAAAAGCTTTCAAAAACCCGTTAATCACCCTTTTCTTCTGTGAATTTCTAATTTGTAATAATTTTCTTGCTTTAACGAGAATTAAATGACTATTTAATGAGTCCAATAAAACTTTTGGCAAAGAGATAAAAATTTATCGGTCCCTCAACTCGTCTCAGCATGAGAGAACAGATTTCTGTCTATCTGGTTGTCGGCATGACTCCAAATCTCCTTGCCAGCAAGAGATATTTGCTTTGAAACCGATAGTTAGCAAAGGATAATCCCCACCCCATAAAGTCCACAATGACAAAATTGAGAGAAACCTTCGTGACTTTATGACCACAAAGAGTGAGAAGCAAAATTTGCCACTGATACGATTGTCACACTGCTGGCTTTGCCAGCAAATTTGCTTTGGTTTCCAAAAGGATTAAAATATTTTGCTTCGACCCACTGTTTTGTCCTTTCACGGTATCAAAATGGATTTTCCCCTTAAAATTTTCACTCATATGCATAATTATATTGCCATATATCTTGTGATTCCGTCGACCCTTTTTTCCAAGAATTTTCCACGTTCATTCCCACCCCGAAAAATGTGTGAAGATATATCATAGTGAGAGAAATACACGCCCAAAACTTCAATATCTGTTTAACTTTGATGTCTTCCGCGACGAAAAACAGTTTTTCATGTGTCCTTTCGCATCATTTCAACTTAATTATTTATTTTCCGACAAAATTGAACCAATGAAAGTGTCGAGTTTCGTTCGGCGTGACAAGTGTTGCCCAAAAAACCATTTTAATGAAATTTTTCATCAAGTTAAAAGGATAAGTTTTAAACATCTTCCGCCATCAAAATCCTCACACAAGGCGCATAAATGGCAAGGGATGCAATTTGCTGCATCTGCTTGTGCACAAAACCGTCAATTTTATTCCCTCTATGTATGATTTCTATCCCACCCCTCTTTTAGGGGTCTTTAATGGTAACCCAGAAATACGACACATCTCTTTATTCTATCCTGTAAACCTTATCGAAGCGCATCAGCCCAATGCTACAAATGACAATAACCACGTTTGAAAAACTTTCACCCATACAAGGAAAAATCGGGCGAATATATAAAAATTTCTCTCTCTTGCCCGCGCTCTCTTTGGGATTTGTATTGCAACAGACCTCTATTTATTTTGGCTTAATTGTGTAAACAAATTGTACGGTGGAACCCTCGACGTTTACAAACTCCACGATTTTATTTGGCCAACAAACATAAGCTGGGCGGAGCATAAACCCCCTACAATTCCATGGAGTTGCTCAGTAAGTCATACTTAACAGCATGGGATTGGTTGACTTGGCGCGGCAGTGGATTGGTTCAACCAGAGGTGGAGTTTCCGAAGGTATAAAAGGCATATGCAGGGGACCATTGAAACCAGTTGAGACACTGACTGCCGAGACTTAACACACGTTCTACTTTCTCGTGAAAGGCATTCATGCGTTCAGGTTTATAGTGATATTTCTGCATACAAAATTACTGACTGTGTCGGACATTGTGATCAGTGCTGAAGAAAGGTGAATGATGATCAAAGTGGAACCACCGCCGCCAACGATTATGAACGCCCAAACAGTCTTTGGCATGGCCCGAGCTCCCCTCAAGTCCAGCTTCTCCATCAACGCTATTCTGCCGGAGACTTTGGAAGAGTCATCACCCACGTCGACGCCCAGTCCGACACCCTACCACTCCCCGATGGAGTCTGAACAGGATCTCACCGATACGGAGAGTGATTTGGACGTCACGGGAACCCCACCGCCAATGGATTGTTCAAACGGCGCCAGGGAGCGCGACGAAGCAGCCGGTGAGAACGGAAGCGCCAGTCCCGCGCCCAAAGACGGAGAAACAACAGGCACTGAGAAAAAGGGCAACGAGAAGCCCCCATATTCCTACAACGCCCTCATCATGATGGCCATCCGCCAGAGCCCAGAGAAGCGACTCACCCTTAACGGCATCTACGAGTACATCATGAAGAACTTCCCGTACTACCGCGACAATAAACAAGGCTGGCAAAACTCAATTCGGCACAATCTCAGCCTCAATAAGTGCTTTGTCAAAGTGCCTCGACACTACGATGATCCCGGAAAGGGCAACTACTGGATGCTGGATCCATCAGCCGAGGATGTCTTCATCGGTGGCTCCACTGGGAAGCTGAGGCGACGCACCACAGCAGCATCACGATCCCGCCTGGCCGCCTTCAAGCGATCTCTAGTCGGGCCCATCTTCCCCGCCGCCCTGGGTTATCCGCAGTTCAGTCAGTTCCTTTATCCGCAACACGCCGCCGCCGCCGCTGCAGCTCCAGCCCTCCTGGCCAGCATGTACACGCGCTACGGCCCGTACACGCCAAGCCTGGCGCCAAAGCCACCTTCGCTGCCGCTCTCGCTGCCATTCTCCACGCCCGCAGGCTTCGGGATGGAGCGACTCCTCACCACACAAACCCCACCCGCCTCATCAGCAGAGTTGTACCAAAGACTCCAGTATCAGCAGCTCTTGCAACAACACGCTGCCGTGCAGCAACTACAGCATCATCCGCCGCCCTCGCTCCCGCAGACTCTACCCCCGCTCAGCCCCACGAACCCGCCACAGGCCACCTCGACGAGTCCCACGAACCCGTCGCCCATCTTCAAGCCCATCACCGTGGTGTCGCGACACAGTTGAGCAGCGCCAGACGGTGTGTATACCGAGTGATAATCTGCCTCCATTCCATCATTATCAGAGTGCAAAATAGGCAATTAAAGACTTTGTATTAGGTGGAAAACTGGGTAAAGGTCATTTGCCCAAATTACTTTGCAACACATTTTACTCAGGAAAATTCCACCCTTAGAAAGTATTTTGTCGCCATGGTAGATCATCATTAAAAACCATTCTCAAAAGATTATGTCATTATAGCAAGAACTTAAGTGGAAAATAATTATTTCTCTACCTGGACTTTATGTGTTATTAGGAAATAAAAATTCTCAATATGTATATATTTAGCAAAAGAAGTAATGTTTCATCATTCGAATCATTGTATATAGTGTAAATAGGAAATATATCAAATTCAAAGGAGTCAAAAAAGTAACTTCGTTTTCACTCCCTCTGCTCTCGTCTCTTAACTCCTGGCGTGAGGAAACAGCTAAACATTTGTGTCAATATTTACTTTATGACTTCATTGTTGAATTCTTCCTTGACACCATGAAATTGTCCGCATGACTATCTGCTGATTTCCTCCGAAAACTATTCACCAGAACACATTCTATTCTTCGTGAGCAAACCCACCCAGAGCGAAATGAAGGATTTTAAGATGAAAAATGTCGACGAAATTCGAAAAAATCTCCTTTATGAGTGTCACAATTGAAGACAAGCAGCGACAGAGAGAATTAATTGTTTAATTAAAATCCCAACACGCGAAAACATATAAACAAAGTGCATTGTGAAGAGTTTTATATCAAATATCGCATTCCTCCAGCTTCCTCCTCATTTTGCAGAGGTTTTTACTGAATAACCAAGCCTGAATTATTCCGATGAATAGAATGTCTTCCTTTCCGGAATAAATGTGTTGTATGTACACAAAAATATACATGGGGCATTTTGTGGTCGCTCCGAGATTGCCGAGGGATCTACAACTCGCGTCGGTATTCTTTGCAAGTGTCGTACACTCTTTATTAAGAAAAATTATTAATTCGATGAGATTTTTACGGGGATTCCAATACCACACACTTGCGAAGTTAATTATATCTTATGTCTATATTTCCAAGAGAATTTACTTGAAATTTTCCACATCATTTTCATAGTTCATAAATTTTATCCACCACCGGCACTTCAGTAATCTTCCTTAACATTTTACTGTGTGTTTTGTGTCACGAATAATTTCTCTATTTATGCTATCGTAATTCCTTCAAGTGTTAATTTGTCTTGTTTATCGTGCACAACTCTTGCTAATACGACTAAATCACGCAAATTACCCCATTAACCATTTAAACACGTTACACACGTTTTCCTCCCAAAAATTACCCTCTCTGCACAGAAATTGTCTTCCATCATCCAAAATTGATGCCTCTCTTCAGATGCTGAAGAAAACATTCAACTTAGATAACAACTCTGTTATGTTAATGAAAATTAACACGCACTAATTGCTGTTACTTTTGATCTTGTCTGTAACCCCTCTCATGTGAGCGTTAACGAACATGAATCATGTGGTTAAATAGCTGTGCAGAGACCTCACATCACAAGGAGTTGGGCATTTGCCTATGCCATGGAAAATCTCTTATAAAATATAGAGACTGTGCGACCATCCCTAAAACGCACTGAAGAAAAGTCAAGTATGCAGCAAGTGAATTAATTATCACCACAATAAATGGCATTAAATGTGTACAAAGGACAATTAATTTGAACTCATTTCCGTTCACCCAAAAGATTTCTTCACATAACCGGCGAGAGTTGGAGAAAGATATGATGATGGTTTGCGTTTTCTGGTGGATCTCTAATTGACGAGAATGAAACTTATGAACGAAGGCATTTGATCATCACGCGTCCAAGTGTTTCACAGTCGCACACATCATCTTGTATGCCACACATTTAAGCACTCAAAAATTTCTCCACACATGACAACTGGCGAGAATCAAGCGTGGGTGGATTGTTTGCTCATGACTTGACCACTGAGATACACTCCGCATTGAGTTTAATCACCAATCAGTAGGTGGTTCAGACTCATAAAAACATCTGGGAACGACAGATGGGGGAGATTTAGGGACAAAATTGAAAGTTACCACGCAGGAAGTCCAGATTTTACTAACAATTCTAAGAAGAGTGGGAGTTATGTAGGCATTTCGAAAGCTCCAATGTCACAGAAGCAACGCAAGCGATATCACTGAAGCATTGAAAAACATAGCAAAGCTTATCAAGTTCAATTTGTATATAATTTTCAAAAATCATTTGATTCATATTAATATGGTCATTGTTCTAGAACTCGAGTAATCTCATTCCCAATTACAATAATCAAGCTCTGATCTAAAAAATGTAATATCGAGTCAATGCGTAAAAATCATCATTGAAAATCCTCTTTGAATTGCACTTAAGTTTATTAAATATCGCATCTTTTTCTCTCTTTCATACAGAAATGCATAAAAAATTATTTTCTTCTCTTTCTGTTCCAAACGGTAGAATTTTTTTCCCTCTCAATTGATATCAAAAGGTATACCCAAGATTAAAGAGCAACTCAAAAATCCAAGATGTCCCAGTGAAGAAAGACAGATCAACCACAGTGTCATTCACTGAAAGGCATGCAGAGAGTTTATTGTGCTGCATAGTGAATTGCAGGGAAAATGAAGGAGTTTAATAAAATAAATTTCACAAGCTCGCTTTTAATTTAAGCACACACAACAATGCAAACGCTACAGTAACAATCTAAAATGCAACTTAACTCAAATGATGGCACACAAAAGGAGTTAGCGAACAGATTATCCAATTTAGACCGTGCTGATATGTGAGAGATGGACAAACAAATGTATTTATTTTAATAAAACAAAGCCTCACCCTCGGAAAAGACTCAAGTCACTCGCATTTTCACTTGAGGCATGAAATTATTTCCAGTCCAAGGATGGAGAAAAAACGCGCCGCACTAAATTGGCGGGAAGAGGAGGTCAGATGGGCAAAAATTGTGAGTTGAGCTGAAAAAAGCGCGCTCGCGACGGATTGCCAGCAAAAAACGAGAAGATTTTCAAGCAGTGGCATCCTCATTGCGAACCCTCTCAATTGACCTCTTATCCGGCCAAATTAATTCTTCTGATTCTCTCAAATACCTCCCCGAAATCGCGCTCCGTCTCATGTCACGAAGTGCCAACGGGACGTCTAATTACTCATTCACTCTGCGGGAAAATTATAGTTGACCCAATTTCTTTTTCGCTCACATCAGCAAAAAAATCAATTCACTACTTCTTAAATAAAGAGAATCACTTTTAAAGATGATTATGAATTAATTGTATATGTGGATATTATTCCACGCATGGATATCTTCTCATTTCCAATTGCCTCACAATAGCTCAACATCTCCACAATAGAATACACATAAGAAGCCACATCTTTGAGAAGAAAAGATGACACAGTCAAAACCACTTCAAGTCAATCTCCGTCAATTGAATATTACACAAAATTTACAGGCACGATCAACCGACCAATTCCATCATCCATAGATATGAGAGTGTGTCTTCCATTGTTATGTGTATAGTGTATTTATAAAGAAGCGCGCAGATGTCGAATTCAATTGAGCACAATAATCAAAACTAAAGAGTATTTCCAAGAGTCATCGAAATATATTCTTACAGACGCACGGCGAGCGCACGGAGAGGAAGGAAAAAGAACCCAACAAGGATCTTCAAGAGTCAAGAGACCGTGGCAAATTCGTTGTGGGAATTTCTGCACACGGAAATTCACTGCCTTCAATTGACTGAAGCCGAGAAGCAATTAATAAACTGACCTAATTGATTGAAATCACATCCGATTGCGTTTGTAGTCTCAACTGAGATTAGCCTGAATCGTGATTTGAGCCTTTAAGAAAATTATTGATCAAAATATAGCAGAGAAGATGATTAATTAGAGACCAAAATTCGATATGCTTAAATATTCAACTCTTTCAACAGGATCATGATACAGATAACAGTCGGCGCTTACGACACTCTCGTGGAAGTTCAAGTGAACGTCCTAAGACATTCTTAAAGACAAGGGTATGAATGTCAAAAGCAAAGTAGACAATCAGTTCATGAATTTCAAACGATAATCCCTGTAATTGAATGTTTCTTAAAGTGATCCTACAAACTTCGTAAAATCAAATTAAGCACCCATTTCAAAGCCCCAAATTCCTTCCCATTTAAGTCAATACATCGTAATTGTATTATGCGTGACAATTCCTTCATTGACCACAAGATGAAATTCATTCTAATTTAGTTAAGTCGCTCCCTCTGACAATTCTTGACTTTTCCTCCCAAACATCATCCTCTATCCAGTCATATTTGTGTTGAGAAAGTAAGAGGAGTGAGTAATTGTATAATACAGGCAACTTAGTGACCATCATAATGGCAGCAGAACACATTTCCAAGAGACAATATTAGTGCGATCCGCGCATTGTGTTCGAGTTGTCTCGATGACTTAAATTGAAACCCACGTACTCTGGTTGATTGAGTTAAGGGTCAAGTGGTAAATATTTTGACCTCAGACTGATTATTGGGTGTTATTTTGCTTCATGTCTATGTCTTTCTCTGCTCCACCACACGCTCACTCCCACCGTACTTTGTCTTCGGCCGCATGCTCAAATGCGACATGACACAGCCATTCAAATTGGTGCGTAGGTAACAAAAGATGTGAATTTAACTCAATTCATCGTTCCATACATTTTCGTATATTTGAGCAACATTTATTAATTTAATTATACCACACTTCTGCCCAATGAATTCCTTTTCATTGTGCGACGGACGAGCGGAGAAAATATGAAGATTAAATAGAGCAAATACATCTTCATCATAAGCTTAAGCTTTTCTTAGACAGTCTCAATCTTGTGGCAACGCGCGCACATCTTTGACGTGTTGAAGAGTGTGAAATAATTTCATTTTTGAAGTAGAAAATCCACCTAATCACCGTTGAAATGTTTGGATGGAGCATTAAATTTCAATCAAAACTAAAGGATTAGACAACAAGACAGTCTTTGTAAGCCCCAAAAAGCCGAAATGTACACCTCAAATTTATACATAATGTGCATCTTTTTCACAAGAAATTCACACTCACACCCTCGCAATCCAAAAGAAACCCGAAAAAACACCCAGAGCTAAAGCGTGAACATATATCGTGAAATTTGTAAAATTTTTGATTTGATTTTATTGGTTCAAACATAATTTATGATGTTTTATATGTGGTCGCCTCTTTCAAATCTACCTTTATTGCTATAATTGAGAAGATTCTTTTATTGTTATTCACGGGTTGTTGCTGGCGATGAAAAAAGGCACCTGTTGCCGCAAATTAGTCTTTTTCACACAAATTCTTTCATATATACATTTCTTATGTTCATCTTTTCCACCTTTTTTCTCTTAGCTACGCTCAGCTTCTTAAGCTTTTTCACCTATCAAACGGCACCGAAAAAACGTCGTTATTGATGCTCCACACACATTCACAAAATCCTCCATTCCTCTCCTCGCCATAGAGTGGATTCCCGAATAGAAACATAAAACATGGTAAGTAATAAAAGTAACAGGAATATTATTATAATAACGAAAAATCGTGGACAACATGCAGAGACTGTTGAAAATAATCTAATTTACTGTCAAGACTTCCATTGTCGGTTCCATTTTCTCCTAACTTCTCTTTTTTTCATATATGTTTCACCTCATCCAGACTCAAAACACCCCGTTTCTTTGGCCGAAGAACAGATTGTAATTTCTCAATTTTCAATTCATCAGAGAAAAAAATTCATAGCAATTGAGAAATTTTCTTCATTAGTCACTTCTCTCGCACATTGAACCAAATTGGAGATTAATTTCAACAATCAGTTGTAATTCATACAGACATGAAGAACTCAGATGGAGACGCCTGGTAATATGATCAAAGCATCTGGCAAAGAAAAAGCAAAACGAAAATTCCCACAAAACACACATTTACACCAAAATATCTTCTCCCATTTAATCTAATTAGATCCATCTGAACATGATATCCTTTAGCATTTGCTCTTAATCAATTTGATCAATAACCATCAACTGTGTTGGGCATGAGCTATCGAAGCGTGAGGTGAAACAAATCCAAACAAAAACCGAGAGACTTCTCCGATTTTTGGACATGATTCAGCGGTTGTGGCGGCGTCTATTAACTCCTCCATCATCGGACACCGCAAGAAGTGGAATAAAAAATCAGGATTTGAATGCTTTTGCATGATGCTCATGCGTAGAATAAATAAGACTTCGCGTCGACGTCAATACGTCAAAAATGCTTTAAGCTTTACACTACTCCTCTTCTTAGCAGAAACAAGATCGAGCAACGAAAACAGAGATATACGACATATCAAATTGATATAAAAATGTTTGAAATATTTCTCGGATGCCGAGAGAAGCAGGGCGCAAAGAAAAGATGAAAGAGAAGGGTACTGTTCGGCAACGTTAAAATTTTATGTCATATGTTTAAAATATTCTACAATCACTGAATATTATAAGGGTTATGACGTGCAAAAGTTTGAGATTTCTCTCTCTCAAACACACACACACACACATCATCTTGTTCTGAATCTGAGAAAAATGTGGGACTTCTTCAGTTCAACTCCTCTTAATCTTCTAATTGTGTGTTAAACAAGGCGATCATTTTCAATTGGCACATCACAGCGGGAACCGAAAATTAAGAACCAAGACTCATGGCGGAGAAAAGCAAACCATTATCGATTACCGTGGGAGACATACAATAAAACGAAGGGAGATTTCTGCATCCCTCCGTTTTTCTCAACAACCGCGTAAAAGTCATCCACTCTTAACGGATGACTGACCAATTTTTTGATTTCGCCACTGATTTTTCCCCCAATCACACTCAATATGTCTACTCCTTAGGTAAGCTTGAGTATGCAATTGACTGTCTCTAAAGGCCAATTTATCCCTCCGCTTTGGCCAAGTTGAAAAGCACCTCCCGAAATGCGTACAACAGTGCGACTTTTACTCTCATATCGGGTGAAATCAATTGAAATTGACATGTATTTTGAATGAATTGAGAAATATTTTCATATATAAAATGTGTTCCGCTTTGTTTCGGCCATCAAAGCATCAAATAAATTGATTAAGTGATCAATTACGACATTTTAAATAGAGACTTTTTGGTCTTATCCTCTCCTGTCTCTTCTTATTTCAATCTTTTCACTCTTTGTTCGAAACCCGCTGTGATTTGGCTTTTCGGTTTCGATCCAGAGTGATATGCTTATCTCAACATACGTCTGCCGTTTGGGATTTTGAGCTGCATTACTTCAAAATTACGAAATTAACCTAAATGGATGGCTTATTAACGTACTCTTAAAATGAAGATGTCTCGGGCACACTTTTCTAAGAAGATGATCGCCTTTGATCGCGTTTTTTTTCTCCATTGCTCGATCACACTTCATGATGATTCTTTCATCCCGCAAAGTAACAGTCAGCAGGCGTTCTATTGTAATAGAAATATTCATTAGTTTTTTTTACGGTTG